CAAATTCTCCAGACAAGATAAAACAAAGATGAAAATGTCTCCTTTTTGAAACATTTTTCTGCTTCTCTACAGGAGCTTCTGACTCCAAACATGTCGGCCAAACTCCTCCTTCCATCATTAAGAAAACTGGGGAATCTGTGGACAAAGAGATCAGATGTTCCCACAGCATCCCGAACCACGACGTGATTCTGTGGTACAAACAAGACGAGAACAGAACCCTGCAGCTCCTAGGATATCTGAATCTCAACTTTGTCACTGTTGAACGAGATGTGAAGAAAACAATCAGCTTTGAAGGAGACGGGCGCACGCACTCCGACCTCACTGTGTCTGATCTGACAGCAGACGACAGCGCAGTGTATTTCTGTGCTGCCAGATACGCACAGTGCTGCAGCTTTACTGAAAGTCAATGCAAAAAACCCCATCAGTCACCAACAGAACACCTGCAGCCTGATTCTCTCACCAGTTTCCTCCTGTGGTCAGACTGGGATACGACAAACTGCTTTGGGAGGTTAATCAGATGCAAACCTAAATGCTATTTTTTTTGGTCCCCATTTAAAAAAAAAAAAAGATGCAGAAAACACTTCAATTAAATTCATGCTTGAGTGGAAAAGGTTCTTCTTGTCCAGTGTGAAGCTGTGGGTCAGTTTCTCTGAGAACGACATGAGAGTCCACAACTCAGCGAGGGGCTTTGAAACGCCAGAAAGATTTGAAATAAGAATAGAAAATGAGTCAAATTCAATTCAGTTCATTTATGTAGTGCCAATTCAAAACAATGTTTTTCCAGAGGCACCAACCAGTTTGTCCACATCTGTAGTTTTAAGTATCAATAAAAAAAACAAAAACATGCAACCTCCCTGTATGAATACACAGTTTGAAAATGTAGCTGTAATTATGAACTTTCATTTTAATAAAGTTCTGAATCAAGAAGATATTCAGTTCACATGGACACCAAACTTCAAACTTTCATACATTATTTTGTCACCTTCCTAAAATAATGGGATAAGTTTTTTTTGTTTGTTTTTTTTGGCAAAAAAAAAAAATCACCTTTTTATCGTTAGAAATATGAATTAGGCAAAATAAATGAATAAATAAATAAATAAAAATCTAAATTTTAACATGTCACTTGTTACTCAGTTAACACTACAAAAAAGGAGTAAACACACACATTAAACCCAGAAATTAATAAATGATACTGAGTCTCTCGCTGAGGGAAAACCTTTCATAAAATTTGAAACATTTTCTGTGGTAAATATTTTTTCTGAATCCTTTAATATTAATATTTCGGCAAACTCTTAGGTGTCTGCAGGAAATGCAGGAATGGGGCGGATCTCCTTTCCATCCTCTAGATGAGTTTTGGACTGAAGGTCTGAACCTCCTCCTTCCTGCAGGTTTTATATCTCTGCTGCTCAGACTGATGGACTTTATGAAAGATGAATAAACTCTTCAGAAAACAAGTTATCCTGCAATTTCTGGCATCTTTCCTGTGGATTTCAGGTGACGTTCAATTTAAAAGGCTTTTATGACGGTCATATCTTTATTTATGCGCAGCATTTACCTCATCATGCACACAGGTTTTGCTGGTGGGAGTGATGTCACCCAGCCCTCCGTTTTATGGAAGAATAAAAGTGAAGACGCGACAATCGACTGCAGCCACAAAAAGGGCGAGTTGTACTTCCAGATGTACTGGTTCAGGCAGCTGCCGGGGAAAACGATGGAGCTCGTCGTCTTCACCACGACGGGCAGCAGCAAGCACGACTTTGGGAGCTTCAGCCAGGAGAAATTTTCAGCCACCAAAGCGAAGGCTGAGAGCGGAGCGCTGACGGTGAAGAGCCTGGAGCCGGCAGATGAAGGCCTGTACTTCTGCGCCGTGGGTTCAGCACAGCGGTGCAGACGGCAGGAAGGCTGAACAAAAACCCACACAGCCAACAGCAGCTTACTGTGTTTGGACAGCAGGGGGAGACAAAGCACTGTGTGCTCGTTCTACTCCGTACACACATACAAAAACAAAATAAAAAATAAAAATGAAGACAGCCTTTAAAACCACAATGATGTAATAATTTTGGGTTTATTAACTGAGATATCCTTAATCCTGTTTTCTGCACATTTTAATCTGAATATTCTGTTTTAAATTACAGTAAAGTATTATTTTTCTTGCATTGTAATTTTGCCCTCACTCTACAGCCGCGGCGTCAAACTCGTTTTCATTTTTGTCCCATTTCAAAAATCTGACCGTTCTTAAAGGCCAGTTTTGATAAATCCCATTAAACTGTTAAAATATCAATAAATAGCAGTTTTTTCCCAACATTCAATAACTGTTTCTTAAAATGAAATAATATTGATCATGTTTTCACACTGATCAGTCCTTCCAGGATCTTGTAATTGTTTTTGCATTTAAGAAAACTTAAAAATACAAAAACAATTACAGATTTTTTTCAAAACATTTGTGAGGAATTTTTTTTTACCATATTTGCGCTAATGTTCGATGTTCAAAGTGATTTTTTATTAGTCGCCATAAAGGTCACGGACATCATCAGCCTTACTGATGATGTCACATCACATCATCAGTAAGGCTGATGATGTCACCTCTATGGCCATAGAGGCCATAGAGGTGACATCATCAAGTAAGGTTGAGGCAGCAGTCACTTATATCGTGTTTTTGGTCAATTTTGAGAAAAATTTGCAATGAAATAAAGAAATTTTTTTTGATTTTTTGTGAATTTTGTGGATTTGTGAAAAACTGGAGGAACTTATTAATGTAGTTTAAAGTAAAGGGCCTCAGAAAATGCTCAGATCCAGCTTTGGCCCCTGGCCTCGAGTTTGACACATGTACTAGAGCACAGTTTCTTATTATTATACTATTGTGTCAATATGCATAATTTCACTGATCTTTAGCTTACTTTTGCAACACCTGAAATTACCCACAAATCAATTCAATTCAATTCAATTCAATTCAAATGCTTTATACTGCCATTTTATTCATAGTTGACAACTAATTTTCCCCTCTCTCCTTCCCCCCTTTGGATAAGATTTAAAAGAAAAATCTGACAAAATACTAAATAAGTTCATGAAGAGAACTTCGATTTGATCTCATGAAGAACTATTAAATCTTTCCTGTTTTTGATAAGTAAAACTGTTCTTGTAATGAAGGAATTTATATAAAAATCCAAATAAATACGGCCAAGTTGTGTTTTCAGAGATAAGAGCATGACCATGTGGTAGCTAACTGATAGTGGAGAAATAATATTTCATCTTTCTACCTAAAGTGACAACAAAAGGAAATTTATAAGCAGGTTCAAATTGTTAGAAAGTCCAGCAGAATCCAACTAACATCCATAACGTGCTGGTGAAGCAGCCTGACGTTACTGTCCACATACAGTGTTATTTCCTGCAGTGCTACACATGAAACATTTTCCCTCTCTGTATTTTTTAGTTGCGGCCAGTAGGTGGCAGCACATGTTCAGTCGGATCAACACTGAACCAGTTCTAAGAGGTTTTGGTGACGTCAGGTGTATAACTTACGAGAAGGAGGAGGATAATCTGACGCTTCCTTCAAACAAAGAAACAAAAATCAGTAAACTTTCTGATGCAGTAAGGAGAGTGTGAATTATATCAGTGGCATTGTTATTTAGCATAAAATACTCTGTCATTGGAGAGCAAGAAAATGCTCATCTTTTTTTCGCTTTGCTTAAGTTTAAGCAATCTCCTGGTTTCAGGTAAAATCTTTAAGATTTAAGATTTCAGTTTACTATACAATGTTTCCGTTGCATCCGTTTCATAAGTTTTATTTGTTTTCCCACAGGTTCATCTCCAAATGACAAAGTCCAGCAGCTTCCAGCCAACATCTTTAAATTTCCTTCTGACAGTGAAGCTGAAATTCAATGTTCTCATACTGATGATAACTTCAACCAAATCCTCTGGTACAAGCAGTCAGATGGAGACCAGAAGCTCCTGGGATACATGTATGCAG